CTGGGAAGCTATTAACAGGTAGAAACAGCACACACAGGGAAGCTGTTGCAGCCTGCAGCAGCTTGTGTGTAGCTTGGGAAGCAGCAGGTACAAAGGTTCATACACGGGGAAGTTGTGGAGGATTTTACAGTTACTGCATCAAACATTCATGGATCATTTTTCTTTATTTTTTATTACCACTTATTTTTCTAGTTTTGGCCACAAGACCTTTTGGTTATAACAACATTTTACTCCTGGAATGATCCTTCAAAAGATGCATTAACTGTTCACGGTTGTGTAGGGAAGCACATTTGAGGGAGGTGTGTTTTTGTTTTGTTGTTGTTATTTAGGAAAGCACACACTCTGGAGGATTCTCAATGAGCACATATGTCTGGCAAATAACAGTGACGTGAGGCTCTTGAAATTTGTGCACTGCACCATTTGTGAATAAAAAGCTTTGGTGGTGAGAGATAAAGGGGAGAGAATCTTCCGGCAGCGTTATCAGAAAACTGGTTCTTCGATCCATTAATTATGTGTTTGGTGGACTCGGCACATTTCATACATTATCATCCTGACAGCGCACATACAGTACAGACAGTCAACCAGACAGACAGATGTTCTACTTAAGAAATATATGCACTTTAAGTCTGTTGTACTGTAAATTAAGTTCAGAACAAATAAACAAAAGAAAGAAGAAAATTCAATCTCAATTTCTGACTCATTCAACAGACGAACAAACTCGTGACGTTCTTTCTACAATGGATCTTTGCTTTCACCTTCTGCCCACTTCATCCCAAACCGGCACCATGGGGTGACACACGTTACGACACATTACCACTTGATTTGTTACCATTCAAGGTTTTTCACTGGACTGGATAAAGACTGGGAAAACAGGGGGTGACCTACAACGACTCTAATCGAAACTGCCCGGGAGAAAAATCAGTGGCCATGGTTAAAAAAGTATGCTGCTTATTTTCTGAAATTTGATTCTAAGATATCACATCGGAGAGAAAATGATTGTCTTCTGTCGGGTGGCTGCACAATAATTTCTGACTTTTAATAATTTCTATGAATCAGTCTTTGAAGAATATAAACAAACTGTTTTTGTAATTAGTTTTTATGATGTTACATTTATTCTTAGGACATTATAATTATTTCTATCGCTGCCCTTCTTGCTGATGCCTTCCTGTTGACTAACAGTGCATCATTCTGCTGCCAGTGTTTAGGTCAGAGGAATTCTGGATCAGGTGTAACGTGATCTGCACGTCAGGTTTTCGACCCTCTGCTGGACACTATTGATTTCAGGGCCACATTGTCATGTATCAACACTCTTTCCTGCCTGTTTTTACTTAAATGCGTTCAAGGAAGCTGAACAGCCTTATATTCCCTGATCCGTGAATATTAGCGAGCGACAGTAAACACATGGCTCTCTCAGAGGTGTAGAATTCATGCATCGCCAGAACAACAATTTGTGATTGAGGAATAGAGGTTAAGGTAATAAGAGCGATGGAGAAAGGTGGAAAATGCGTTTTTGTATGGTATTGGTTATGTTCTCTGAGCTTTCATTACTCTTTCTGTTGAATAATAGACAGAATAAAATCTCATGCATTTAAAAGAGCCGTATCATTTAAGAATTGAGCAGCACCTGATTCTGAATCACAATAAGGGATTGCGAATTAGTTCTTGCTGGAGCAGGACGCCAGGGGAATAAGATTGGAATGAGACAGAAGACCAAGGGCCGAACCTCTCTTTCCAATGACAGTGAAATTCATGAGACGGCATAAAGTAGTTTTCTTAACAACTAGACTTGAATTCACAAAAAGCAGAGAACAAAGAAACACAAATCCAGGATTTTTCTTCACCTAAAATCACAAAGTGTTATTCATGAAACTCGATTTGAAACACAAATATCAAACTTACTCTTGCTTTTTTCCTGTTCACTCTTTTAATCTTGAACTACATCCTCAAAACAGACTAACCAGAAGTGCATGCTCTTCATTTCTGTCTACAACCTTTCACAAGTTGTAAGAAGTTACGCAAAGATCTGGCACTAAAGACAAGAGCTGTATTTGCTGCGTCAGAAAGTCAGTCACGACGGACAGACGGTTTCTCATCCCTGGATTCTAACTATTAAAGAGCTCTGGGGCACAACGAGTCAGCTTTGGTGGACTGGGAAATTTTCAGGGGCCAAGTCTTGAAATGCTGCTTGGTCACATAAATCATTTATTTAAATACAGATTAAACTGTTTAAGGACTTGAAGAAGCCAGAATTTGACTCTTAGACTCCAACGAGCATCAAACTCCAAAAACACTTGAGCCTGCTTCCTTCCTGCCTGTGAAACGCCCTGATCTTTCTGTTTAATACTCAAACATCTACAAATTCGTCTGGTGCCATCAACAGGTCAAAGTTTTCAGTTATTAGTTTTAACATCTCATTTACTGGATGGATTGCCACAAAATTTAGCAGAGGTGTTCATGATTCCTCTGCTGCCACTGCGAGGTTGACGTCCCCCTCTGGTGAGCTCTCCGCTTACCCTGATGGAGCAGCTGATGAGGCCGTCTCTGTTGTGGACTTTGAGAACTCTTTCGAACAGCTGGTTACGGGCCACTTCGTCTGTAGCCATCTGACCCTCCAGCAGGTCCACGGGCTCCGAAACCCCACCGGTGAAGTCCACCAGCGCGTCGGCCGTGTTTCCCCCGTCCAACGCCTCGTAGCAGCCGTAAACCCTGCAGGAAGAGGAGGAGAGTTGGGAAACGTTTATTAGAGCTGCAGCAATTACTCCGTTGATTAGATTAGTTCGTTGACGGTTGCAGCCGATCGGCATTTTCAGCTTTTCCAAGTTTTATATCCAAGTAAATTGAATATCTTTGGGTTTTGTTAAGACAAAACGAGACATTTGAAGACGCCGCTTTAGATTCGGGGAAAGTAGGACGGAGGTTTTTCACTATTTTTGGATATTTAATAGAGAAAATCATAAATGAATTTCTGCATATCAACATGAAGTTATGAAGGTCCTATGTCATCAGGATGACTCTTTTCCTTCCCTAAAACTGGATCTGTATATTTGTTGGCACCGATACTAACTTGGCGTAGGCCTTCTCCACCAGGGCACTCCAGAACTCGTTGCTGTCGTTGGAGTGGCAGTACACCAGCTGGTTGTCCACCGTCGGCAGCCGGTCGTCGATCACCACGTCCACCCACTCGCCGAAGCGCCAGAAGCGGAAGTGGAAAATCCCGGCGTACGAGTCTGGCTTCTCTGTATCCCACTCCTGCTCCTTCCAGTCAGGAATGACCTGGAGGACGAGGAGCAGAGGGCAGGTAAGCCAAACAAACAGCCGCTGGTCCACGGAGCATAAATAATGTCAAGGTGGAGTGGGCTGCCAGAGTGAGACCGAGTGCCCTGTTGTCTGCTGATGCATTTAGGATCCGGGGACAAATTTATCACCTTGGCCCTCTTGCTCATAAATCCTGCTGTAATAGGACACGGGTGGGAGGTAATAACTGTTGGACTGCAGTGTGTGTGTGTGTGTGTGTGTGTTTCAGCTGCCTGGATTTGCTGTGGTCCAGTGAAACCCATGTAACCAAGCCTCCATTTTGTGATCTGTAGTTTGTTTTGGGTTTTTTTTTTGCCTAAAAAAAGAAAAAGAAAAGTTGCCTAATATAAAATACAGAACAACACACTGTGCAGTCAAATGGAGAAATATAACAGATGGAAAACTATTAACATGAGGACAATACTCATGATAAATTTAAAACAAAACAAATGTTTAACTTTATGTTTTATATAAATCCACATATATTCTTTTTATCAGTACTACTTTCAAACAGCTGAGTGAAAAGCTTCCCTTACATTTTAAGGAAGGGTATGTGTTATATATTATATATAGTGTCCAGATATGTATGTTTCACAGCCCCAGCGAGCAGAGTAACAAGTTCTTTCTGCACCATGTTATGTTCTGATTACTCTTTAAAGTCCCATGAGCCATGCTGTGAGCCGGAGTCATAACAGAGCACCCAACATGGAGGTGACCTGCGAAACCTCTACCGGTGTGAGTATGGCAATAAAAACTGCAAATGACGCAGGTGAGTGACACCAACATGTGACCTCACTGACACTGTTCCAGCAGGTGTCCTTGGAGATGTCAAGGTGCGCTTACTGAACAGCAGTTCCTGTCAAAGCTCTCTGCAGGTGGTGACACTCAGCTGATGGAGAAAATCTGGCCTCTCCAGAGAACCGACCCTGTGAGGCAGCAACAGTTTCTTTACAGGGAGGAGGAGGAGGGGCAAAAAAAAAACAAAGCACTGCACCACAGAAACCTCAGTCATTTTGTAATCCTTCGGGACGCAATCTCTGTTGCGCTCCACCCTGCTGTTGCTTACTCTCACAGACTCTGCACTGTGGATAGAGAGAGAGAGAGAGAGAAAGAGCAAAGGCTCTATCCATCTCATCTTTCATCTGGACCCAGTGTCGCTCTGCAGCAGCTGAACTCTGGTGGGTAGGTGACCTGACGACGGACCAGAAACACAAGCAGGAGGCACCTTGGCTTCCCCCTCGCCACGGTGAACGAAGAACCCCCCCCCCCAACCTCATTCTGGGCCACTATACGCCTACTGAACAGTTTTGATGTTCACATTTACACTACCGCTCACGCAAGCCTCTAGGATCTGGCTCTATTAGAGTCAAGAATCTGTAACCAAGCAAATGCGTGGGACAAACAAATGTGAGACAAACAGTATTAAACGTAGTTCCCTGAAGGAAAACCTTGTGTCGTGGTTGCAAATGTCATTAGATCCGGTTGCCTAGCACCTCTGCTCATCTGTACTCTGCCTCCACCCCCCTCTATTAATGGTACACAGACATGTACACATGCATACTGTACAAGCCTGCAGGCAAGAGAAGAGAGTAAGAGTTACTGGAGAGAGAGAAAGCGAAGACGCTTAGTTTCGACGTAGCTGCCGATTTTATCCAGCCTTGTATTTGGTATTGACCTCTGAGCCTGCTGCCGTGTGCCGTCCAAGCATGTCTTCAGAGTTGGAGCTGCCCTTCCGGCCGGACACCCAGCTGACGGAGGTGATGCGGCTGCGGGTTCAGTCCCTGCAGCAGCGAGGCCAGAAGAGGCAGGACGGTGAGCGCCTGCTGCGGTCCAACGAGGCCGTGTACCGGCTGGACTTCTCCAAACAGTCCCTCCGATTCTCACACTGGACGGTGCAGCTGGCGCAGCCGGGACACCTCACCGTCACGGCCACCTCGCAGCTCTGGACGCCTGACCTCACCAACCTGATGACGCGTCAGCTGCTGGAGCCTGCTGGGGTTTTCTGGAGGGCGCCGGGCGATGCCGCCGATGCACCCATCCAGTGCTACGAGGCTGACGCGCACGAGTTCGGCGAGAGGATCGCAGAGCTGGCCAAGGTAAGGAAGGTCATGTACTTCCTGTTTGCATTTGCAGAAGGCTGCAGCCCCGAGACAGTCGACTGCTCCATCTCCTTCACAGTCGACAGCTGAGAGCTGAAAGTCAAAAACCTGGACAGATACTCGCTACGAACTCTTCTTCTGGACTTGCTCTTTGCTTGGCTGCTCTTAGTTGAATAAGAAAAGTCGATTTTAGGTTAACCCTGCATTATGTGAGGCCTTCAATGTTGCCGCTGACGTCCTGTAAGAACTCAACAAGATTACACTCTCCATGTTTCCCTTCATCCTTTTGAAACAGCACTTACATTTTACATGCATTTACAAAGATGTAACTTATTTCTGTTTCTTCTGTTCTGAACTTATTGATCACATCAGGTCTTTCTTCATACCTTTATATTCTATGATACTGGGCATTAATCAGATGAATGCAAATAAATCTAATCAATCAAAAAGGTGTATCTGAATTGTGTTATCCGATGTCTAAACACAGATGATTGTTATTGGGCTTGTGCGTTATCCTCCCTCTCCTCCTGTTTGACAAACAGCCCGCCCTGACGGGTTCGGTGGAGATGAGTCCCAAATGAGATAATGGATAGAGACAGTGTGTATTTGTTTGTATGTGTGCGAGTATTCCCCCGGCGGACGGCTGAACAGGTTCCTGCTGCCTCATCCATCTCCGTCTTGCACGGTGACCCTGACAAACAAGAGAGGGGAGGCATGTGGATTTCATCTCTCAGCTTCCTCCTCCTCGCCACGGGGGATAAAACAGCAACTGTGACTGCGAATGAGAGGACGCGTGTCAGATGAAGTGTGAGGGAAGAGAAAATAACTGAGACGTCAGGAGGTATTAAGGCTCGTCTCTTGTCGGTACAAAGCATGTAACTAACTTGCCACCTGAACCGTCGAATCTTCGGAGGCTGAACCTCCCGTTTCTCTGACAAAAAGTCTCACGCTGCACATTCTCAGGAGTCTCAATTAAATCGATCTTGCCTACAGCCTCGAATGCATGAATATAAATCATCACTGGGTGTCCTCATTGGTATGTGTCCTTTCACTCACTCTTTGTGTCACTTTTTAATGAAGAGTTAAACAAATGGACCAGGTTTGGAGGAAATTAGCACACGGATCATCTTATTATTAAATGATGATAAACAAATATACCATTCTAATATTTACACCTATACTGTGCTGAGTGATAACAAGGAAACGAGAAGATACAACAGCTAAAAGGCAAAACGAAAAGCACTTTAAATTTGGCAGTTTTTTTTTTTGCAGGTAATTAACATGTACAAAACACAAAATAATTATGTTTTGAAGTTGCAGCACTCAGTTTCACTGGGGATCAGTATCTGCTCCTGTGAGACTTGGACCATCACTTGTTTTGCTTTCATAGGAAGTAAAGCTCGTGGCCAACAGGAGACTGGGAACAGATGAACATCTCTGCACAAAGGCTGTTTGGACTCTTCTGCTTCACAAAGGCAAAACAGCAACAACTACACAAACCCTGAAGCTGAGACAAAAGGGTTTTAATTATATAAAAGCTATGTTAGTTGTAAAGCTTTAATATCAGGGAAAAAAAATGTTATTGGAAGATAAATCAAGTCCATCATCCAATATACAGTATGTCTACCTTTGGACTGTCTAAAGGACATCTAAGCTAGGCTAGTTAGCTTTTAGCATGAGTTGATGTTACTTTTTTTTCCTCCATTGTGACATTCAGCCAGTCCCTTATTTATGTGGTAAAAAGATACTGAAACATCCGTTTTTAATTACAGGAAGTAGGTTGGAAAGTCTGTAAATTAGCATTAGCTAAGACTAGTTTCAAAGAGAAACAAGGAAAGACAACAAACATGTCTCAGCGATACAACAATCATCTGAAAAAAAAGGAGATGTCAAAAAAACAGAGTGTGTGTGTGTGTGTGTGTGTGTGTGTGTGTGTCTCTGTGTGTTTACAATGAATACGGAGTAAACAGAGAGGGAGATGCCATGTTAGCAGTCCCGTATGTACACACACTTTCTGAGCAGTCTGCCACAATCCTGCGTCTCCCTATAACAGGCCGAGACATCTTGTTTCAAATCCCATTAAACCTCAGTAATCAGTTTGTTTCCTCCGTCAACATGGATGCCAAAGAACATTTCAGAAAAATCCTGACAGCCAAATCTCCAGAGCTCCGTGCAGTTCAAATTATATTGTTTTTTATTAATATGACACCACTAATTTCATAATAGAGCTGTGGTGCCAATCTCCATGCAAGAAGTTGACACATTTATTCTAATTAATGTGTAAAAGGCTTCAAACAGCATTTACAATGAAAGACAATAAGTTAACAGAAACGGGAATGAATTAAGTTCTTCAGGGTAGATTAAGGATCTCTAATGCACCTAACTCATTATTCATTTAATATCATTAATGAGGAAGGAAACACATTTTACCACGTTTGTTAGATCTCAAGGATAAAAACAGTGTGTTTTGGTGAGTGACACTAAATGCAAACAGAACCTGTGTTGCTTATAAAATAAACCCCACAGGGTACGTTTTAATTTGAAATGCAAGGGGGTTTATTCAGTTTGGGATTTAATCCTAAACAAATCAAATAAAAGTTTGTTATGGTTCTAAACTACCATTTATTTTTCGATCAATAACTAAATTGTCTCAACAGCCGACATGGTGTAACATTTACACCTGAACAAGGCAACAGCAAGAATTCATAATGTGACTGGGTGAGATGGTGCCCTCTCAAAAGGTCAAAGACTCTGTTGTGTTCCCTGTCTTTGTCGGCAGTGCGGACGTTTCACTCTCCTCGCGGTCACACATTTTCTATGTTCCCAACAATGTGTGTGTGTGTGTGTGTGTGTGTTTTTCTTCCCATGTCAGCTACATAACTCTATTGCTGCAGCCCGATAGGCTGATCGTGCAGATGACGCTTGACCCAAATGCATAACAGACACATTTATTACTGTAACTGCTCATCAGTTTATCATCGTTAATGTGAGAATTTTTCAGTGTTTTAATTACAGTTCTCATGATGAAATTTAAAACAAAAAAAAAAAAGATACTGATAAAAACACATTTATTACTGACAGAAGTCAGGACATCCATCCAGTCTTATGGCGTCATGCCGGTCCAGAGAGACTCCGCTTTAGACTCAACCAATCAGGCTTCCACTAACTGATGGAGTCTGTTGAGACCAGGGAGGCGGTGTGGTGCTGTAATGAGTCCTCTGGTGTTTACTGCTTGTCATAATGGTTCCTAATGGACACTCAAACACTAAATATGGAATAATTACGATTCGGTACATTCGGAGTTCCTTTTTGAAAATGCATTTCTGTGCAGGAAACACGTTCTTTTCCGTTATCTCGCAATTAGAAAAGGTCGTATATGTAAACAGCTGTCTTTCAGATAGTTCAGAAAGTTGGTCAGAAGGTGGTGTTGAGCTGTTGAACGCGTTTCTGGCACAGATGGAAATTGTTGGTCTTTTTTAGCAGCTGAGCAGCTGACTGAGCATCAGCAGCAGAGTGAGAGGAAGCTGAAGTGTCTACATGGGTGAGTCAGTGATTTCATACGTAAACTGAAGTGTGATTTCCTTCTACCGCACCGCAAGAGCAAAAAGCAAAGCAGAACATTATAGTGCAAGTTTCTACTTTTTCTATCCCAAACATTAGAGAAGGTTTAATCAGATTTACAGAAAAGTGGCAGAAAATAATGTCAGCATGGCAACTACCAACTGGCCATGAGCTGCAGTCTTTGAGTTCTTTTAAAGGGAAAGTTAAATGAGAAGACAGACACCACTGTCATGTCCGAGTGTTAAATACAGAGCCTGGGTCAGGACATGGTTAGCCTAGCTTAGCATAAAGACTGGAAGCAGGAGGAAACAGCGAGCTTGCCTCTGTCCAAAGTTCCTGTCCAGCTCAAATATGTTGTTTCTTTTGTTTAGAAGGAAACTAAAAATTTAAAAACACAATTTGTAGTTTTAGCTGGACCTACATGCTGTAACTGTTTCTGCAGATCATCATCCACTTTGTACGTCTGTGCCGAGTGTCTGGCTATGGTTTTGCTAAGGGTTTCTGTACAGGCGCAAGTCAAGAGATAGTTAACCATGTAACTCCCCCTAAAATCAAAAATTGTCATTTTTATATTTCTGTTTGAGAAACCCCTTAATTAGTAAGGAAGAGAACCCAGGTTAACTGTTTATACCCCGTTTCCAGTCTTTACACTATGCTAAGCTAAGCTAACCAAGTCCAGACTCAAGCTCCTCACTTCATGCACAGGTATAAGATTGAAATTGATCTTTCAATGTTACCTTTGGAATGAGTGAATGATGTCCCAAGATGTTGAACTAAGAGTAGGTGTCTGTCTGTGCTTGGTGTTTTAGGATCAGGTGAGTGCATCAGCTCCACACACGTCCACACACTTACATGAGATTTACATCAAAACATTTTTGTCTCAAAAAACAACAAGACAATGTCAAGAAATAAGGAGGAAGAGGAGGAGGAGTGGACGACACACATGCACAATTGCACACACACACTTACTTTTTGCCACAGAGACTCTCTGGAGGCCAGGCTGGAACACGCCGCTACGAACCAGCAGTTACCCAGCTGTCCCTGATGGAGGTCATGTGCGCTGATGCCATCAACAAATAGGTGAGGGTCCTCACACAGCTCCTACAATCCAAGAGACAGACAAGAACAGCAAATGACGGGACGTATCACACTGAGAATTTTCAAAGTGTTGATTTTGCACCAAGGTAAGATTTTTTTTTTTTTTGTCAATTTCACAGTTCACTGGGTGAAAAAGGAGTATGACATAGAGTTAACGAATTATGCGTACACTCAGATCCGAGACCCGGCGGAACATAAATGGAGTTATCGAGGCAAATTCATGAATCAGAAAGAGACCATCTGTCCTTGTGCGCCCACGTATCATATTCATGATCTTTAACCCGAGTGTGGGAGAGCTGCGTGCATCTGTGAAATCAGACTTCCCGTGGCTGCAGTGCTCAGGTCCATTTTCCGCCACAGTGTGTGCGGTGCAGATCTCCATTACTGCAAACAACATGGTGCTCAACAAGCTGCTCTTTTTCTCTCTTGCA